AGAGTGTTGGATGTTCCTAGTGTTCATCAAGTACGTTCGTTTCCAACCACATTTTGCATTCTCACCTTTTGCAAAGTTAGTGGTAAGTTTCCTTTTGGAACATAGGGATAAGGCATCTGATTCCCATCACCTAAAAAGGGGATTTTCCGAATATGATTTTTCATCCGGATGACTTTAGAGATGGTAAAATTTGACATGATTCGTCACCACGACTCTAATATGATTCAAGCACAATACGAGTTAAGCGAGTTTGAATTAATCTTAAACGGGTTCGAATTATAAATAAGTTGACACGATTAATCTATTTAGTTAATCGTTTTATGTTTAGGTTGAGGAGTTCAACCCGTGTAACTCGTTTATACACGTTTAATTATACATATCATAAATAAATATTTATTTGAGTTCCAAAATTACTACCTAAACTTATGTCTTATAATTTAATTTTTTTGTAAGTCAGAGAATATTTAGTAATTTGGTTGCATTGAAACTTATAATTTTTTAGTATTTATTGTTTCATTGAGGATTATTTATAAGTTAAATAATATAATGTTTTGTTTTTGTAAATAAGTCATTAAACAAGTTACACGTGTAAATCTGTTTAATAAATAGATCAGTTAGTGTTGAGAGTTCTTGACATGATTATTAAACGAGTCTGAACTGTATAGTTTAATATCCTTAAATTAATATGACATGATTATAATCTGCAAATACAAATTGTCGCTCCTTAACAAGTCTTATGAAATATCCCTCATACACCACGAGTGTGTTAAATTAATAAGTGTATGGACAATTGTAATTATTAGGATAATACTCTGATACGTTGGGAATAGAAAAACAACCAAAGTTAAAACAAGAAACAACACAATTGGAAGAAAATATTTTGTTTTACAAATTGTTGAAACAATTCGTGAAGCTTTTCACAAGCTCCGTTTTCTTCTTTCCATCGCCTCAATTATGAAGCCTCCCAATTGGTAGTTGTGATTGGTCAAAAACTAAAAAGACATAAATATACTAAATGACATCTTAAGATGAAAGGATATAGCGTCTCATATTTGTTTCTCCATAAATGTGATTATGTGACCAGCCCAATTCAAAGTTAAGATTTGACTCTCTAATTAATTTTTTTTATATTAGGATTCACCAATTTGAAAGAGAGAAAAGAAAATATAGGAGAAGAATTAACGCAAGTGGGGGCACATGCATTGGACGAGTCCCGTACCAATCCATTTTCGTAACTTGTGGCAAACTACATGCCCCTTATTTTAAAGTTATACGAATTATAAATGAAGTAGAGTTTCAATCAGAATTCACGAACTGATAATATAAATTAAATTTGTGATTCAAGTTCTACAACCTCGATAAGATATTCAAGTTTTAGAACTTTATTTGTGAGAAATTATATTAAAAAAACCAACTTATCTAAAAATAATAAAACTAATACAAAAAGGTTGCAATTACTTATATTATTATTAGTATTATAGCTAGGGTTAATGACGATCTACTTTTTGGTGCACAGATATGACTCTACACTAGAGTTTAGGCGATGGACTGCACAAACACATCAATAATCCGATGCATGAATGTTGGAGAAGATTCACGAGGCTACAATTACTTCATGCTAAGTTTGTGGCTGCTGAGTTTTGTTTATGAGGGAGGTTACAGTGACCTATCAAGGGTTGACCACACCATCTACGAAACAATTATTTTTTTATCAAAGTGAAGTTTGCAAAAATTTGAACTAATTTTTCTTTAAACTCCACAACTATTTAGGACTGATTGTAGCAAATAAATAAATAAAAATAGAACTGATTGTATGAATCGTGTTTTCACTGTAATCTCATGATTCATATTCATAATAATATAACAAAGGTTTTATAATTAACACTCTTCCTCTTATACTTGAGATTGAACGTCTAAAAATTAGACAATGAGAAAAATTCTAGCAAAAATAAAAATAAAAATAAAAAACCAACAATCCATGTTATTTTATGGATTGAATAATGATTTTGGTGTATCATGCTATTGTTATATTTGTGTAATCCAAGGCTAGTGGATGGGTCGGTCATACAACCAAAGTCATTCCAAAAAAGTATGTAAAGTGCGAACCAATTCTTTTTCTTATGGGGTATTAGATACTGGAAAAGGAACTGACTCTGCAAAAAACACAGTGATCGTTAATGGTGACTGCCACGTGGAGCGAGTCGGCCCATTAATGGTGACCGATTGATGAGATATGGTGCATGAAACTAATAATAGAAGTATAGCAATTAATTGGAGGTTCTATTTGTCTTTATAACGACAAACAGAAAATGGTGCATGAGTTTCTGAGAAAAATGATAAGAAGGTATCTGACCCTTTTGTCCCCACTGCTTTTCAATAATGGAATTCTCCATTACCATTTTGTGGCTTCCACAAAACCGATGGACCCACTTTTTCTTCTGTCGCCATCAATTTTTATTTATTTGGTTATTTTTTAGAACTTGAAAAACTACAATGAAGCGAAAATTCTTCATAATTTAAAATTCTCATTTCAAATATTATCTTATTAAAATATAAGGGAAAACGCACTCTATTTTTTTACAATTGGATTACATTTTAAAAAGAAATGGCACTTCTATTCTTAATTTTATAAATAAATATTTTTTTTAAATACCACAATTACCCTTTCAATTATAGAAATATATATTTGTCTCACTCTCTCCATCTCTTTAAGTTATGGTTTAATATTAATCTTTGTGTATAACAATGGAAGATTAGCACTAAAAGAATGTAAGAATTATTAAAACTTCATAACTCATTCAACACCATTGATGTGAATGGTGATGGTAATTATTTCTTTTATTTTTCCTTTTTTATTGTGTGTTTTGAGTTTAACTTCAATTTTTTTCTTCACATGATTTTTAAGAATTAATTTGAAATGTATTTAAATTTTATTGACATAATATGCCCTAACTATTTTGACAATAAAATTTCAAAAACAAGGATTTTATGAAAAAAAAAAAAAGAAAAGAAAAGAAAAAGAGATGCATATTATGTCAAAACCTACATCCATAGTATTCACCTTCAAAAAAAAATTTCCTTTTTTTTTATTTTTATTTTTTATTCCTTGGGTTATAATTTTTTTTTTTTTTTGAAAGATTAACAAGATATAATGTTAATTAATTGAAAAAAGCAGAAAAAGATTAAAAAAATAATAATAATAATAATCATTCACTGCAACAGAGTTTTCAAGAAAAGTATTTTATAGAAAGAGGAATTTTCAATAAAAGGAATAACTGATATAGAAAGAAAAAAGGGTGAAGAAAATGATAGTTTTATCTAAAATTAGGTAGTGCATTTAATATTTCATATAATATTAAGGAGCATAATTGGTTTATTGCCACATTAAACTATAATTTTAGAGTAAGTAAAGAAGGTAAAAAAAGAGAGTTTATAGTGTAAAGGGTAGTTATGGTATAATAAAATAAGAAGTGATGCATTAATTTACTTATGGACTTTTTTGTCATTCACATTAAAGAAAAAAAGAAAAGTGGAGTGTAAAAGTAAAAAAAATGTAGTATGAATATCGTCTCCCAAATATAAATACATAAAAGGGGAAAATGTATAGTAAAAACATTCATACTTGTCTATCACCACTAAAATTTAAAATAAAATAAAAATACTAAATCCTTCCACATTTACTCTATTGTTATTGTCATTGTTACTATAATAATAATAATTATTCACTCAATTTTGGATGTTCATATAATAAATTATTGAGAAAATTATATTTAGGTAGAATTAGGAGTTCTAAATAATAAATCCGTCCATGATTTTTAATTCACATGTAATTCTTTTGCTTAATTCATCAACCAAAGGAAAAATAAATAAATAAATAAAACAAACTCTTAAAATAGACCAATGTGTTATTTAGGATTCATAACTTTACTTAAATGTAATTTAGGCTTCTATACTGTATTTAGCTACTACTTTTGTCCCATATTATTAATCCACTATCTCATTTTTAGAAGTTCCAAATTAGTTGTCCTCTTTAAAAAGTTAGAGCAATTAAGCCTTATTTTTACATCTTGTTCTATATATTTTCAAAAAAATTTAAATTTGATAAGTATACATATTTAAATTAAAAAGAACAAGTTAATAATTTTAAAAAGGAATAATACATTAATTACATACTTTCTTAAAAACTCTAATTTTTAAACATCAACTCTAATTTTTAAACATCAACATCTAATATGGCAGTATATCATTTTTCTATATTTTCATAGGTTCTCATCGTCATCATAGAGGAGTTGGGAATCTCTGTTCAGTTTTCAACAATTTATTTTGATAAATAGTCAGCACCTTATTTCAAGAATTGATTTAATATGCACTCTCAAATAAGCCTCCAGTACTAAAATCGATCGTTGGTCCACAAATAATTAATCCTATTCATTGGTGACCTCCAAAACTGAAAATACGTTGGGAATCGATGACCTTATACGGTATATAGTTGCAAATACTTACCCTGTCTGGAATAAACGTCATGTCATATAATGTAATGTGTTTTTTTAATTTTATTTAAGGATAATGTTGGTATAAGATACGAATTTTTTTTTTGTTATTTTTGTTGTTAAAAGTTAAGAGTTGGTTAGTATAAACTATATATATTTGGGAAAGCAAAAAATAACAAATACGGACTGGACCACTCTGCCACTTGATCCACAAATGCATAGTTACAACTGATAACAGGCCATGACTCTCAAATTTGGAGGAATTAAGCTGTTTTTATTACATAGAAAATGACACAATACACACAGCCTGTGTGTGTGAGAGAGGGTAATACGGAGAGATACAGGACTATATTAAGGTGCTCCAAAAGTCTGATACCCATTATTTTAGCATCAAAAAGCGGTGCCGTTTAAGGAAACCATCATAGCCAAGTAATATTATTTATACAATTTCCCGGTATTGTACAGTTTTCTAACACACACACACACATATATATTGACTTTGTTTGGGCAATATATATATATATGTGTAGTTGTTCATTCTTATTAAGCGAGAGAGAGAGAGAGAAGAGAATTCATTCAACTTCAGAACACAATGTCTCCTCCTCCAGTCCTGTTCTATGTTGTCTCAATTGCATTACTGCTCATCAACACCAATGCCGATCACGATAGCGGAGGTATATATATATATATGTCTCCCTTCCTCTAGATCTCTCTCTATCTCTCACCCGCCCCCACACCACCCCCACCCCACACACACACACTGTTTTCATATTTGATGTACATACTCTGTTTTTCAATTATATGTCCCATTATCCATCATTTTGAAAAAAAGGTCATCGATTTAAGCTCCTTTGTTTTGGCACACAATATATATATATATATATATATATATATATATATATATATATATATATATATATATTCATTTTTTTATTTCTTGGGTTAAAAAAATGGTTAAACACCGTGGTTTCCGGGTTCAGGATTTGTTCAATTTACTTACTCGGGGCCCCAAGGACCAGGAAATTGGGGGAAATTATCCCCAGAATACGATGCATGCTCAAGTGGAAAACACCAGTCACCAATTGACATTGTTACTGAAAAAGTGGTGCTTAACCAGACATTGAAGCCATTATTAAGACAGTATGGTTCTACTAACGCTACCATGCACAACAGTGGCTTGAGCATTGGGGTTTGTCCTCCTCTCTTTCCCTACCTTACCGTTATTTGCTTTTACTTCCCATTTATTATATCTTCATTTACATTTTTATATTTTGTTTTAACTAATTCTTTTTCATTATCATCTCTGTTTTTCTCAATTGGATGTCAACTTCTTTTTTTATTTATTTATTTCTTGATTGTTAAGGCATGCTTAAATCATCCACAGAGCCAGCATTGTTTCTAGGGAGGGCCTTTAACTTGTTACCAACTTACACTTCCCTCCCTTGAAACTTTTATGTATGCAACACATACCTTCACTTTCGTTAGGGATGCAACTAGGTTGGACAATCCGAACCCAACCCGAATCCAATGCCGATTTTTTGCAAGTTTGACTAATCATTTTTACAATTAATGTTGCATTTGAATTAAAAAATCTCAACTCAAATTTAATTAGAGTTAAGGTTGGATTGAGATGTTAGTAACCTAAACTTGAATTTTAATATTATTTTCATATATATATTTATTTTAAATACATTATATATAATATTTAAATTATGATCACTTTTTTTTCTTTTCTTTTCAATTCCCTTTGTTTAAATTTTAATTTATTGTATGCTTTGGGAGATTAATTTTCTAAGAATTTGTCTCTAATTTATTAAAATTTTGCAATAATTTATTTATTTATTATTTTTGTATTTTTGCAGTAATATAATTTTAAACTAACTTAAAAATCACATTAAGCTTTCAATGTGGAGATTGGTCATATTAAACTAACCCGACTTTCTAATGCAAAATCTAAATTTGAGTTAAGATTATAAAGAAAATGATGAGTTGTGCTCAAGTTAAATGGTTAGGATTGAAGGTTAGGTTAGAGTTGAATATTTTATTTGTCAGATTGGGCTAAAGTTGAACCTCAAATCCGCTCAAATTGTAGCCCTACCTTCTTTAACGAATGAAAAATACTGTGAGCAATTTAGAAATTTTCAAATTCCAATTGTACTCTTGTAAGACCTGTGTATATACATAAAGGTCAGTGTAAATTGGCAATCAAGAGCGGGTCAGCACAAGGGCGGATCTAGGAATTGAGAATGGGGTGAGTTAAAATTAAACATAAATTTAATAACACAATTTCTTAGGCAATTTTTTTATTTTTTATAACATAATCTATATAAAAAAAAAAATTTATAACATAATCTATATATATATATATATATATATATATATATATTTTAATAAATAATCTATATAAATATTTGAGGTCAGAGGAGGATAGTGGTGGACTGGTGGAGTTGTGGAAATGAGAACAGAGGTTTGCCAATTGTAATTCTTAGGGCTAGGACCATGGCACTAGTTCATGTATTAGGCCCTGTTTGGATTAGGCCTTTATTTTAATCTTGAGTTTGTTTGGGTGGGTTAATACTAATAATAAATTTTTTTTTTGGACTGAGCTAAATTTACCTATAGTAATATAATAAAAAAAAAAAAAGTTAATTACAATGACACCCCCTGAGATTTGCTCTATTGACAACCATATACAACTTAGCCATTTTTTTAACAAAGACATCCCCTGTGAGAATTTCTGATCCAAACAAGCCCTTAAAACGCTTGAAAAGACGAAACTACCCTTTAATGTTTAATTTATTTTTTGATAAAATATCAGAACTCATGAAAAGTCAAATTTGCCCTTATATATATTCACTATTATATCAGTACCATCATATATATATATATATATCATATATATCAATATATATACATATAACCAATCTCAAATATATACATCATATATAAATATATATACATATATAACTAAATCTCAAAGCCTCCTTCCTCCACCTCTGGAACCGACCCATCCACATCCGCCATCTTGATCCGCCATCGCCTCTGCGTCTTGATCCGCCATTGTCGTCGCTGCCTCTTGAGCCGCCGTCGCTGTCGCCTCTTGATCAACAACAGCCGTCGTTGCCCTTCTCAACCACAGCCACCGCCACCACTTCTCAACCACAGCCACTGCCACCACTTCTCAGCCACAGTCGCCGCCATCGCACCGAAGCCAACAACCACAGTCGCCGCCTCTCCCTTCTTATACTGCCACCACTTCTCAACCACAACCGTCGCCACCACTTCTCATCCACAGCCGCCACCATCGCACCGACGCCAACAACAGCCACTGCCACCTCTCCCCAACAACCACAGTCGCCGCCATCGCACTAACGCTAACCCACCACCAAACAAAAGCTTGTGATCTATATACACATGTATACATAGGAAAAAGATAGATTACAAGAATTTGGGGGAAGTGGATTCGGGGAAGCAGATGGATATTATACACATATATGTCTGTTTATTATACAGAGTCATTAATCAAGGTGTTGAACAAGAGTCGAGATTCGTGCAAATCAAATCAAAATGTTTAATTCTTTCTCACTTCAAAGGCTACGATGCTCAGTAAAATATTGATTCTCGGATAGTCAAGCTTCCAAAAACAAATTGGATTGCTATTTTAGGAGAGACTAGGAGTTGATCTTTGCACTTTCTATTTTGTATTTTGTAATATTTGATAGCTTTATTTTTTAGCACCATCGTGGTTGAGGTGGTGGCGGCTATGGTAGGGCTGTGAAATATGGTAGTGGGTGTGAAGTAGGGTTTTTAGGGTATTTTGGTCAATAAAAAAGAATTGTATTGGATAAAATCGTAATTGAATGTGTCAAAGGACAATAATGTCAATTCACGACCATTGGAGTGTCTTTGTTAACTTCTTCAAAACTAAGGGGTCTCTTTGTTTAAAAAACGGTTAAGTTGTAAATCGTTGTCAATATGACCAACCTCAAGGGGTGTCATTGTAATTAACCAAAAAAAAAATTGGAGTGGGCTGGAGCCCAACCTAACTACTTTATATCCCGTTGGGTCAGCATATATTGACAAAACCTGGGAAAAAGTTAGTGTAATTTTACTAATTTACACCAACTCCTAGCTCGGTACGGTTAAAATCCCTTTTAATTTCATTTGTATCTTATTTGCTGAACTAATGATTTTTCATTATCATCTCTGCTTTTTGTGAAGGGAGAGTTGGGTTAAGATAGATTAGTAATTAATTTGAGATAGAAAATGCATAAACAGTCATTTGAAGAATGGTTTTCCTAACACTGTTTCTACGTGAAGATGCAATATGGAAAAGAAGCTGGAGTAATTACTGTAGAAGGTAGGAACTACAGTTTGAAGCAGATGCACTGGCATTCTCCTTCCGAGCACCGACTTAATGGAGTCCAGTATGACCTCTCTCTCTCTCTCTCTCTATATATATATATATATACCCATATTCGTCCTTATTAGCAATTTAGCATGATCATAATCAGCTTCTTCAAACAAAAACTTATAATAAACTCAATCATTTGATGATACAGATTCGATGCAGAGTTGCATATAGTCCACCAAGCGGAAGATGGCAGCCGTGCAGCTGTGGGAATCCTCTATAGATTTGGCCGTGCCGATTCACTTCTTGCTAGGGTATATATACACTTCACCAATTTAATCTTCATTTCTGTCAATAATGGTTTAATGACAATCCTGGAAGCAAAAACTCTATGTATATGTATATATTTTTCTGTAAAGCAATCTCCGAGTAACAGTGATTTCTGAGAATAATCTCATATTAAGGGCTTGTTTGGTTGATAATTTCTAAGAATTGTTTTCTAAAATTTCAATTAAAAATAGTTGTTCTTACAAAATTATCTTTTACAATTAACGGAAAACTATTTCCGGTTTTTTAAGTTCTTAAGAACTATTTTATGAGTTACAAACCAAACAGATCCTGAGATTCAGGTAATTGACCTTTTAGAACATCATTATTAGAAGAATTCTGAATCAAGAATGTAACCAATACTAGAAAAATCAGACTTTTCAAAAAAAAAAAAAAAAAAAACTAGAAAATCAGACTCATGACCAAGTATAACGGTAAGAAGTTCGAAATTTTATTACAATTCAATTTGGTTCTACATAAAGGAATTCAAGGTATATATATGTAGAGAAAGTTTACAAGTATATTAATTTGTAATGTTTTATGGTTGCAGATGCATAAAAAGTTGGCTGAATTGAGTAAACAGAAGAGTGAACACCATCAAGACGTTCATGTTACGGTTGGGACATTTGATCTGAAACAAGTAGAGCGAGTTACCCGCACCAGAAACTATTACAAATATTATGGTTCTCTCACCACTCCTCCATGCAGCGAGAACGTAATCTGGCACATCCTTGGCAGGGTACGTAAAAATAATAAAATTATTTCATTGACATATATATATATACATAGCACATTTATGTGAGTAGGGTATGTCGTTATCTTGACGTTAGTATCCGACTTATGCAGGTGAGATCCATATCCAAGGAACAGGTAGACGCTCTGAGACATCCATTGGAACCAGGATGCAGGAACAACACAAGACCAATGCAGGAATTGAATGGGCGAGTTGTTCAGTTATTTAATAATGTTAACAACTTCTAAATCTATCAACACTGTCATCTCGATCTCAATGTCACCTCATCCAATATATATATATATATATATGATATGATATATATATATATATATATTATCCTGTACATACAGGTTGATCCATCTCCCGTGCCTTTCTTCCCCCCCCCCCCCCCCCCCCCCACCACACCCATAAATATCTGTCTAATTAGCTTCTAATCGAGTTAGTCTTGGTGTGTTTGAGTGCTTGATTTTCTGCATATGTAGCTCAAGGTTCATGTTCTAAGTTTATGCAGCTATATATTTTGGAGCGAATTTCAATAAAAAAAGAGTTGGTGGCTCATTTAATTCTTCCGAGTAACTTGGTTCATTTATAATTCAGATGAAATTTCATACTGTTGCTGTTGGAATTTTGCATGTGTTGCAACAGTAAGATTGCTCTATGTATGATTTGAAATTCACAAATTCAAAATCGTAAATCAGATTAAAAGGAGACAACTTGTCTCAATGGTAAAGCAAGCATGGATATAGATATGGATAGTGACGCCAATATTGTCTAAAGACTAAAATATCTTGCACACTCACACTAGCTTCCACCTTAGGAGTCAAAGATGGCCCAGACGTAACGCACAATAGGGAATCTTTGACACATTACCCAGTCCCACCTAAAAGAAACTAAAAAATGTGCATGATTAAAACAACTTGTGTGTGTTATACAAATTGTGTGTGTGTATTATTATATAAATAATAATAGTAATAATAATAAATGGACAGCTACATGTTGACCTCTACAGTACACATATGACATATACGACGCCGCACGCATAATATTATTGGGGTGAGTCAATGATTCAACGGACATTGAGGGCGTGTTTGACGCTGGGACTGGGAGTGGTTGGTTTGTTCCAACGCCGCCACTCAAAAATTACTTTGAATGTATATAAAAGGAATTAGTAAAAGCAAAGTACGTGAGATGGCATACACATGATGTCATTTTATTTTTATTTTATTTTATGTTTTTGTCTGCAACCGATGTAGGTTTTGAATGAATTGTTCCTTAGTCCTAGCTTAATTATTAGTGTTGGTTCTATTTAAATCCAAGTAGTTCGTTGTAAAATCAGACCATTAGGTTCAATACAAATGTTCTTCATAATGGTGTTAACTATTTATTAAAATGGTTAAATCAATTCAAACCATTTTTTTATTTTTTTTATTCCCAATTGCTGCAACTTCTGCCTTCTCACAGATATATACCACTTGTATATTCTGATTTTTCCACCAATTCACACATCCATTTCAGTATCATTTATTCAATTCATTACTCTTTTTCTTACACATGTTTCTTCACTATCCGAAAATTGTATAATAATTTAATAAAATACTTGATTGTATAACTACCTTAACAAAACACTTCTTTTTTTTCTTTTTTTGTCTCCCCGGTAAATAAGAGAGTTGAAAAATAAAAAGAAAAATAAAGCTCAAATTTACAAGTATCATTGGGCCATACCCCCAAGGCCATAACGTAAGAAGCCCAATGGTCGCAATTGAATACAATCAATTAATAATTTCATTTGCAACGATTTTACTCTCAACCCCAACCACCCAATTGTTGGTATTATCAATTATGGTATAGCAATAGGACCTAGATGTGACTTAAATTGCATTAGGTTACGTAGTTCGGTAAATATATATATATATATATATATATATATATATTTTTCAATTGCAAATCACTATGGTAAATGATTTCACCAATGCATATTGTTGGAGCATAACAAACATCCATCCACCTAAAAACTAGTGTTATTTTTAGTTAAAGTGGCAATTCTCATACTCAAACTTCGAATTGCTTTCCAACACTCATTAATCTCAAAAAAATAAAAAAAAATTGAACTGTTCTATTCAAGCTTTTTCGACCCAAGACCTAAGTCACATAATGCGGAAGCAAGAGCAGAAGTGCGAGAGCGTTAAAATTTAAAATTAGGTGAGAGCGGGAGCGCCGTAAGAGCGTGTGTATATTATATATTTTTATGTTTATATATTTATTTTATGTGAAATATGATTATATTAATTTTAAAAATATTTTTTTGTTGCTAATTGTATTTCAAATATATTATTGTGTAGTGAATATTAATATATGTGTGTGCGTTTTTAAGAAAGTTAGGCAATTTTATAGATCGTTGGATAAATATATATTGCGCCATTGGGAGAATACATTTAGAACAAAACAAGGCCAACAATAAAGGCCTAAAAACAAGAGCCCAACCGGCCCTGAAAAATTCATCTATATGCACATGCCTATAACTATAAAGCACCAAACAAGTTACAAGCCACTCAATCTCAACAGAGAGGCTAGGGCACCAGCGGGATATACCAAACTTGGCATGTGACCAGCCACGGTCAGAAGAGGAGAAATCAATCTAGTGGTCTCTAGGTGGAGGCCGATGATTCTCTACCATTCTCCAACCAATTAGGGCGATTTTAGGTTCTATTCGAGTTCTCAAGCCTGCAACAATCATTCTTCTTCTTCTTCCTCTCTCCAGATGCAAAAAACTTAGTCTACTTCTCCATATGCCAACTTGCTCCATATGCCAATTTGAAATCTGAATTCGAGAATTTTAAATCTGAAATCACGAATTGCAAAACTTGAATTCGTGAATTGCAAAACTTGAATTCGTGAATTGCAGCCGAATCGGCTCGCAAAGCGTTGATCCGCGTTCGGAGCTCTGGAGCAAACTTCGACTTCGGGAATGGAAATCGTGTGACCTAGCCCAAGACATTTGGTGTGCCCTACTGCCAATCGCATAATAGTTGCAACTTAAATACTATCTCCGTTCTATGTTAAACGTCGACTTCGGGAATGGAAATGGGCCAGAGCGTTTCTCAATGAGAATTTTTTAATAGACAATGTCACGTAACAAAATCAAAAGTAAATTATTATAATATAAAAAGCAGACAGATATTGAATTGAGACAAAAATCATTATGGTTTTGCAATAAAATCCATAGATTTTTCATTTATAAAGTAAAAAAGACAATGATTTACAACTGCTCACTCCAAAACCACTCACATATTTACATTAATTAATAAGATCGAGTAAAACCAAGAACCACAAGGGGCTAAATAAACTGTGAATTTACCTGTGTATCCCAAGTCGTTATTCATCATCTTACGTCAGCTCAACGACCATCTAACCACGCTCCCCATCACGACCGCAATCAACTTCTTCCTGTGGGTCCCCCATCAAACCACTACACACGGCAATCCCGATCTGACGGCTCGGATATAGACACGCGAACATCTAGCATCTGATCCAAGTCATCAGTCCCCCACGACGACGTCGATCTCCGGCCCGACGCGAACCGCGTCATCCCTCCCAAACCGGGGGGCTCACCGACCTTTTCAGCACTAAGCGGCATCTCACGCACCTTTATCGTCACGCTCTTTCTCGGCGGCGAATCAACTGGCGGCTCGATTCTCTCAACTGAGCGTTTCGAGCGACGAGTAGACCGGAATACTGACATAAAACGAGAGTATAATCCGGTTTTCCGGCGTCCACCATCGGTTTTTTCTTTATCAGTAGTAATTATCACCGTTTTCGCCGGTTGTGACGCCTGTTTCCGGCGGCCCCTCTTGGACCTCACTCTCCCCATACAGGAAACCTTTGGCGAAGACGGTTCTGTCACCGGAACTGTCGATTTTCCGACTGACTCGGATCGCTTCGGAAACAACCGGATATTGGCCGGTTTACAGGTCCTTCGCTTCGTATCGACATAACTAGCTTTCTGTGTCTTCGGCAATCCAATAATCGAAGCCTTGGACTTCAGATTCAAAGAGAATCGCTGAGACGAGGAGTTCGAGTTCGGATTCTGATTAGACGAATTCGAATTTCCTTTGGTGGATTCTTTGCGCTCGTAGAACGCGTTTCGATCGAACCAATCGTATTCAGCGTCTTTGGATAGCCAAAACGATTCTGGAGGGAAATCAGGAGGAACTTCGGTGAGATCTGGATTCTCCGGCAGATTGTCGCCGTCGGCCAGAGTTTCGCAGGCTATTTTCCGGTCATTGCCTCCGCCGCAGACTGAAACTATGGTTTCAAGATCTACTTGCGGCATGCTGCTGGAAAGAAAGTCTAGAGAGAGAAAGACAAGGTTTTAGAGAGAGAGAATTGAGAGGATAGTTGTATGAAAGGAAGAATATAAAGCCAGAGAGAGAAATGAAGGTCTATGATTGATCAGTGCTGGGTGGGGGGTTTGGTATGGTTTTCGTACATTACATACTCCTTTTCATTTTCTATAGAGAGGGGGAGAAAATATCTCTTCGTCAAAAGAGTACAAACTTCCAAAACGTTGATTAACTTTAACGACGACGAACTTGTCTTGTTTTTAACATTTTTTATTGTAACCTTGGGATGGCTCGGCTCCGCTCGTCTCGTCTCGGATCAGAGCCCCAAATCCCATGGCTCTAATTTTACTATTTCGACTCACTTTTTAAGGGTCTTTTTGATAGATGAAAATAATAAGAAAAAAATGAAATTAAATTTTTTTAAATATTTTGAAAGTTTAATTATCAAGAAAAGAAAATTTTAAAAAAAAAATTGAAGGAAAATTACTTTTCATAACATCTAACTTTTTCATTAATTTTTCTTACAAAAAATTAAGAATTTTTAAAAAAAATTTGATAAAGTTTTATAAACTTACAATAATTTCTTTTCCTTTTTAGCAAGGTTGATGCTAATCAAATATAAAATGAGAATTTTTTATAATTTAAAAAAAAAAAATTCATACTAATCAAATAGACACACACATATATATATATATTAATTTTCTTTCATTCATTTCAATTTCTTTTACTTTTGCCTTGTGTTTCATTTTTTTTCATTAATTGACAATATCTCATACTACTACTTATTTTAATTAGGAAAGTTGTTCTTCTAATTTTTTTTCAAACAAAATTATTATCTTTATTTATTACTTTTTTTATTTGTAAATACCGTTTATTTGTGTATTTGTGATTAGACCATATCAATGTTTGTTTTTTTACTATCAAATTTTCTTTTATTTATTATTTGTTACAAAACCCAAAATTCTCAAAGCAATTCATCATTCCAAACAAATATCTTGCCCTTCTTCTTCTATTTTATCAATAAGTGTTTTTAATTAATTGATTGCCAAACAAATAAGGCACCAGCTTGTTCCAAGTAATGGGTATTAATTAATTGAATTAAAAAATATATATGAATAATTGGAGACTGATTGGGTCCACAGCATCCAACATTTATTAAATTACAGTTAATCATTTTTAAGATACATCATCCCACCTAAGTTGTACAACCAATGTGACAATCTATATAGGAGTACATATAAACCATGGCATAAATATACGTAACCACCCTTGTCCATGATCATCTGGTTAGGTGCGATTTGTTGAGGAAGATGGTAGAATCTTTGAAGACCGATTAGGTACATCCAGAGGACAGTACAGAGATAGAAGTCTCAACTCTTTTAAATCCCAATAAAATACTATTTTTAGGTTCTGTCCATGAAGCATTATTAATATGTTTTTAATTATAATATTTCAGCTTTCGATATTTTTACCCAATTTATAATTCCAGAATTGTTTTAAGCATTCCGAAAATGTTTATCTGGTTGTGAAATTATTATTACATATTATGAATGTTGTGTGTTGTAAGTCCCGCGGAGCGAGAGCTAAATTAAAAGCACGAAAGAGAAAAAGGCAAAGTCACACAGAGTAGGATTGAGAGTAAAAGCACAATAAGAGCATGTTTGATTTCCTAATTCAGCGTTGAAGGTAGAACACGGTAAGTGATTTTTAAAAATAAGTTTGTTTGATAAAATTTTAGGACACCGCTTAACATGATAAGTACTGTTTAAAAGAAACCAAAATTTTAAGCTTGAGGAAAATTACTTATTGCTTATCTCAGGTAAGTGTTTGGTTTTAAAAAATAACTTTTTAATGACTACTCTACCCTCATATAATTATGTTATCTCCTTTAGAGTTTCTCTCTATGATTTTTCTAATGAAAATGAATTACATGTAACAAATTTTAAAAAAAAATAAAAAACATAATTGTACCTAATATATTTTAATTTTTAAACACGTATATAGCCTTTTGGTTACCATTTATATTAATTCACTCTACAAAACAATTATTTATATAACAAAATTCTATTCAATTTCACATACTTTCTTTAATATTTTTAACACTATTTTTATATCCACACCATTTTTATACCCTACAAAAATATTATGTAATTATTTATATAATAAAATTCTATTATCAGAGAAGAATTGTCTTTCACATATTTTCTTAACACTCTTTTCATTACTTTACCATATAATCCAAAATCCATATATTTTAAATTTTACTTTCTTTGATCTTTTGTAACATTCTTTTTTATATCCAAAAACTTATATACTTTAAATTTTTATTAATTATTTATATAATAGAATTAAATTTTTTTTTTTTTTTTTTTTTTTTGTTAATCGTAGGAGTCCGGACCAGCTTGCGTGCACCTCGACTAATCTCACGAGACCCTGAAAATATATAATAGAATTATGTTTCTAGATAAGAATTCTTTTTCACTTTCCCTAATTTTTGTAACACATTTTTTAATACCCTACATAAATATTATGTAATTCAAAACACATATATTTTAAATTTTACTTTTTTTAATTTCTGTAACACTATACCTAAATAAATATTATATAATCCAAAATCGATAAATTTAAAATTTTCATCAAATATTTATATAATAGAATTTTATTCCTAAATAAGAATTCTTTTTCAAGTATTTTTCTTAATCTTTGTAACATCTTTTTCAATACCCTACCCAAATATTATTCAATCCAAAACTTATATATTTTAAATATTATGTAATACAAAATCCATATATTTATTTATTTCATATTTATTTATTTCATTGAGTGAATGTGGTTGTTTTATTAATATTTTTTGTATTATAAATATAAAACTGTTACGAGTATCAGATATTGAGAGCAAAAGTGTAATATGTATAACTTTCAGACTTTAGCTTTTGTATAAAACAAACAATCTTAATGAATTCAGCACTTAAAATTAAAATGTAATCAAACAGGTTTTCAAATTAATACATTCAGTGCTTAAAGTTTTAGCGCTTAAAATTCAGTACTTTAAATTTTCTGTGTTTAATTTTCAGTTTTATCAAACAGCACCTAAATGTGAGAGTTGGAGTACACCGAGCATGAGAGCGCTACTCATTTAGAAGAATTATGTAACTTTGATTGTGTTTCCATGATGATATGCCTTTTAAAGGAATGCATTCATGAATTAAGTTAGAAAAAAAAAAATTTGCATAAATTTGTAGAAGTTTTTAGCTTGGTTTTACAAGGTATTTTCAATTCCTAGAATATTAAGTTTTTATCCCCAACCAAATATTTTGAAATATATTCCACAATATATTTTATCTTAAAATAGATGGAACATTTATCATCAAAAACTTTTATCCATTAGAGAAATGAAAATAAAAATAAAAATATTTATTGTGAATTTTTTTTTCATCATTAATGAGTAATGATAGAGAAACCAAATAGATGTCCTTGAATCATGACTTGTCTTTATCACGTCATTTACATAAGCAACTTCTAAGAAAATAACTATTCAACTAATATAAAGACAAATTATCATTAATATTCGATCTTATATTCATAACATGCCATTCACCATCTCTCTCTACGACTCACCTCTCTCTAAAAATTTTCTCACTTTTTCTCTCTCTAAAAAATTTACCCGTATTTGCTTCTCTTCATTTTCTCTTTCTAAGAATTGGATCTAAAATTTTCTTAACTATTTATCTTTCCCAAAATTTATCTCTCTCTAAGATTCTATTTTGTTTCTCTTTAAGATTTGGTTGTGAATTTCCATCTTTTCTCCATCTATTTATTCTCTCTGTTAGAAATTTATTTCTTGAATGTGGCCTTTACATTATTATACATATGATATATTAGATACTTCCATGAAGAGGGTTTTAAGAAATTAATTAGAAGGTGATCCAATATTAAGTGCACCTATATGAAAAACCAAAAGTATAAAGATGGATACAATTCTAACGTGATTTGAATTACATATATACTCTTTAATAAACTAAGTGATTAATACTTTACTAGTGGAATTGGAGTTAGTGGTTGAAGAGTTAAGTGATTCTTTTATAACTCTTGAAGTTATTGTTCAATTAATGAAGAGTTAAAGTTAATAAAGAGTTAATTTCAGTCTCTTGTAACGCTTGGTTTTCTTATATAAATTTAAAAGTCTTTGATGGAAAGACTACGACTAATGTTATATAAAAAGGTCCCAAACCATACTCTCTTATTACATGATTTGTGAAATAAAATACCACAATTAGTACCCATTAACTATAGAGAGAGAAGTGGTTTGAAAATCTTATAATTTTACATTGGTTATTCAGAATAGACGGAACCTAACTTTTGGCTCAGTTTAAAGTTTAGTCAGCATCAATAGTAAGGTTTAAAATCTCTTACTCATAATGGATTAAGGTAAGATATATACCACTTCTAAATTTTATAACTCATGGTATTTTTGTGCATCAAAGTTGAATCTTGATGGGCTAATTATTGTTAAAGTATTTCTTATTGTATCTAACAAGTGGTATCAGAGCCATGGTTCTCAATTTTGATGTATGAAACTTATATGAATTTCTTGAGTATCTTTATAAATTATTTTGATGCTTGATTGTGTATAACCAATTAATGCTCAATATTGATGATTATATATTATAAAATTATTTTTGGTTCACATTATGAAGTGCTCAATTTTGAAATAGTATTGATAAGCCCAACGGAGGGTCAATAGTATGAATAGTTGAACATTATAAAATAATTAAACCATATATAGTTTTGATCAACCCAACGGTGGATCACTATGGTTAAATGATTGTTATGATTAATGTAAAGCATATTGAAGTTTTTCTGCCCAAAAGTGATATAATTCTATTAGGAATATGATAAGTATCTTTGTTAACCTCATTTATGGTGACATAGGTAAGGATGATTTTAATGTCTTACACTTTCTTTTTTTTTTGAAAAATATACTAATAATATATTGTAGTTCAGCCCAACGAAAGAATTACAATTACATTATTGGTTTCTTATGATGATATGGTAAATTTATTGATTTTTATATCTAACTACTGATGATTTTAGTTAGATTTATTGAAAGTGTGGTGTTAATTTGCATGCATGACATATTCTTAATTAGATTATTTCTATGCAGCTATAAATCCTACTGCAATTACTGGTTACTTGTCT